AGCAGAGCAGAAAAAAAACTACAATAAAAATGACAGAGAAATGGATAGAGAGAGAGAGAGAGAGAAAATATAGTGGAGAAAAACCCACGAATCGCATATTTGATGACGACAAAAAGATAAAGGTCAAAATTGTTCACATCAGATGGTAAGTGGAGCAACAATCGAAATAAACATTATGTGTGTGTTTTTTTCTGTTTTTTTTTTGCTTTTAAATTTCACCAAATGAATAATTTTACTGTAATTGCTTCGTGTGAGCGAGCGAGTATGTGTGTGTGTGTGTATGTGAAATATAAAGTAAAAATAACCAAAACGAAAGAAAAAATTTTTCGTATGCCGTTTATCAAACTGAATGAAAAACGAAGCACAGTGCAAATACAGCTTTCGTGTTCGGGTTGCCTTTCATGAATGGCAAAAGTTCTTACACGATTTTTGTGTGTCAGCAAAAATGTGCGAATGAGTGTGTATGTCCGGATAGGAATAACAGAACAAAACTAAAACGAAGCGAAAAGAAAAGAAGAGAGAAAAAAAGCATGTAATGTTTTAATTATTGGCCAATGTTCAGCGAGTCATTCGAATGTAGCTGGTGTTGTTGGCGCGGCGTTGCCGATGTGGCCAAGCCATGAGCAAAATAGCGTTATGACAATGATGGCGATGACGATGAAAATGAGGTCGCCCATACCGAACCATATACACTCCGTAGTATTATTATATACGAAGCAAAAGATAAGTCGGGTGTGTGTGTGTGCTTAGTCGCGCTCTGCCTCAGAGTCTCTCTCTCTCTGATGCGTCTTAAAACGTCTTTGTTTCGTGTTAAAAAGAAAGTTAAAATATATTGTGTGATGGGGGGAGCGAGAATAACTCCTTGGATATAATGCGCAGCAGAAAGAAGCAAGAAAGAGCGAGAAGGCAACGAAGAAGCAGAAGAAAAAAAACATCATACACATGTATTATTGGGCTGCTGTTGTTTTTTTTCAAATTCGAAAATAAGTGAACGTGAACGAACACACGCTCTTACCGCGCTTATGCATGCTTGTGAGTGTGACCGACGTTCAGCGCTGGCTTGTTATTTTGTTGCCGCTGCCGCCGCTACTCTTGCTAATTTCATGCATTACTACATATTACTCTTTTTTTTTCTCCATTATAACTGTACATTTTTTCATATTCTCTCAAATGCGTAACCAAATATTTTGACTCGCTGGTAACAGCGTTTCGTACGCCAAGCATTTGTGTGTGCGTGTGCGTGTGCGTATGTTTTCCACTTCTTTTGATTTCTATCTTGGGTGATTTTAATTTAGTATTTTCTTTTCGATTTGGCAATACGTGAATGGGCACATGACCCCAACTGACAAATTAAACGTCACTACCGACGAGAATTATTGTAGAATAAGCCGGTTTATATTTTTCATAGACTCGACGTTGGTTTGCTGATACTGTGTTTTCGATTTTCCTTTTTTTTTCATCTCTTTCTTCCTCTGTGTGTCGATTCATTTGGTTTGCGTTTTTCATTACATCAATTCAATTCTTGTCTTTTATTTTGGCCGATTTTTTTTTACACAGTTGCGTTTTTCCTCTTGTCAATAAATACCATTTGGCGATTGGCCCCACTGTTATTGGCTTTCTACGCCATTTATTCAAGACGAATGGTCTCGTTATTCTTTCGCTCATTCATTCAGTTTTAATTTCGTAATTTTATTGAACGAAGCAAGAACAACAAAAAAAATATCCAAATTCCCTTTGTTTGTCGTCGAATTTAGTCGCTATGTATCAAAATTTGGCTGGAGCTTCTTCGTATTGAAAATAGCTATTTTCTATGCATTGATATATTCAAAAAAGAGATTACATTTTTCTTCCAGCAAAGTAAAAGAGAAACTGTGTTCAGCAGGTCTTTATTGATGTTGCTGTTTGAACCATTGCTATATTTGTAGTGATTCGATTTGATTGGATTGGATTCGTCGTCATTTGCATTGTCGCATCTCCGGGAATCGCTTTCGTTTGACGTGTTAAACGTCATCACATTGGAATCTCTCGCATTCCAATCGATGCTAATAAAATCCATGATTCATGCGAGTTATTTTTTCTTCGTATCATCAAGAAATACGATCCTAGAATTGGTCGAAAGCCAAGCCAAATTTAAATAGCCGAATAATTCGTAACAACTTGATAAACTATAAATTGGTAAAAATGTCAATGGCAGCCATGACGGTCCAACCCAAAAATAAAACACCATCGAACGCTTTCGGCATTTTTAAAAGATTTCCATGGCATGGAAAACGATTAATCTCAATATGGAGCCAGTTGCAATTTTTTTTAGTCGCGCAACCGATTAAATGGTATGTTTGGCCAAATCACAGGGTTGAAACATTGATGAAACGAAAGGGAATAACATCCATAATAATTGGCGTGCAATTAAATTGATGCATGAATATTTTTTTGTTCCAGCAAAATTGTAATGAACTCTCAATTCCCGAATCACAATCACGAACTATACGTCAAGCAATTTTGATTGCGTTCGATTAATGCCGGACAGCATGGAATCTCACTAAAGGAGACTGCTTGATTGCTGTTGTGCTTCTTTCTTTCCTTCTTTGGCATCACTTCGGTTTGTAATGTATGTTTGTAAACGGCTCTGTGCAACACAGAAGAAGATCAGACTAAGGTGGATATGTATGCACGATTAAATTGTCTATGAGGTATTCCGGTTGTACAGCAAAGAAAAACTGTTTTTTTTATCAGTGAGATGAACGCGATGCGCAATAATAGGTTGCACAATGCCAATTGTTTCGTTGTTTGGCATTTCATCGGTCTCGAGTTCATAATACAATATAATAGCGTATTAGACTGCTGCTTTATAATAATCAGCTACTTAGCATAAATCAACCATAAACTCATTGCAGCAGAGTTTAATCAAATTTTAATGATCCAATCCAATGTGCATGACAGACTAAAACGAAGAGTGTATGGAATGGAAAATGAGTTTCTCGGATGACCAACGAGAGTTGTCGTTTTTCCCTACTCTCTCTCTCTCTCTCTCTCTCTCTCTCTCTCTCTCTCTCTCTCTCTCTCTCTCTCTCTTCATGAAATTGGACTTGACACCGGTACTATTCCTTTTCATTCTTCATTACGCTAAACTTGAAATCAGTGATGTGCACAGCAATGCCGCGAATAAGAATTAATTTCATTTGTCAGCCAAGTCGTCAAGTGAGCGCGAATGCTTCTAACGCAAAATTCCGTGTATCCATTCTTCTGCATGGCTGTTGCAAGAAAATATGCACTCAAGAATCTATAGGAAGAAGGAATGTTTGCAACAACAAAAACGTACACATTTGACTGAGATTGCGTTCCTTTTGGTGTAGCATATATCACGACAGCGTGCTTCGAATGCATTGAAATTTTTGTTTTTCTACTTAGCGTTCGTTGCCTTCGTTGTTTTTTTTTCACGATGACAAAAGTGCAACTTCTGTGTGCTCAAAGCAATAAAGTAATTTCACAAGCAATATTTGATTATGATACCATTGCTCCTTTTTTTACCAAATTGTAACCATATTTCCAAGAACAATTCAGTAATTGTGAATGTAAAGTGGTTGGTTGCTGTTCTTACTGTTGCTCGTTTTTTGCTTCGCCGTCTTCAAACTTAGAAAACATTTTTGCCGGGAGAAGCCGTCTAAATTAAGCGATATTTCGTAGTGTTTTGAATTGAATAGCCGTACGAGAAATGATCGCATGTTACGTCGTTTTTTTATTCTCGGCAAGAGATTTCTTCTCTCTTCCTTTGTGTGTGTATATGTGTTTTTGACCTGCGGCTTATTTTTCGTTGAACGGAATGCAATGGCAGTGTTTAGATAACATTCAATACAGAATCGCCCCACTAAACGAAACACACAGAACAAGAACCGAAATACACACGGAGCAAGCGAGGAAGAGAGAAACGAGAGGAAAAAAGGAGACGAACACGTACATAAATATAGGCAAACGAGAGAAGAAAAAAAATCATATAAATAAAACGCGTGCATACACATATGTATGAAACCTTAACGTTACAGTGTGGCACTGTGAGAGGCCAGGGGATTTACGAAATATTACGAGAAAAAGAATAAAAAGGTTGTGAGACACATTTGTCTTTTTCCAAAACTTTGCCGCACAAATACACACACAAAATGAACGGTTTGAATTTCGTCTCTCGGTTGGCGTTGCGAGAGATTTGATCAGCGGCGAAAATTTCATTCTCGTGCACTCTCACAACGAAAGGAAGAGAAAACGATGACGAAGAAGAAGGAACCGAAGGAGAAAAAAAGAAACACAAAAACCATCTGAAAAGACCATCGAATTTGAACTGTTGCACATGCACCGTTTAAGAATGCTAAACAAAGAACGAACTGAAATCGAAAGAAAAAAAACAACAGCGATTCAGTTCAAAAATCGTTCAGATCAAATGGTGATGACGTTAACCTTTTTCGGTTGGTCTCGCGCACGGTGTCGAAGTAAACGAGTGAAATTTGGAAAGCCAAAACTCACTTTTTCAAAGTAAAAACGCGCGCCCGTGTTTTTCTTTTCTGTTTTCCACTTGTATACGCAAAATTAATCGAGCTGCTTGCACAATTTTGCCTTCTTTTTCATTTTGTTCTTTCTTCGATTCGCCAAGTTGAGTTGGCAAGGCCAGTCCGTCATTATTTCAAACAACACCAAAAGCCACTTGAAGTGTGTTGATGTGCAACGGATAAACGGAAATTGAGTTTCATTGAAGATAATTAGAGCTAAATCATTTGAATAGCTATTTATGGAATTAGCTGCAGAGAAGAAGAAGAAAATGATAACCACAACAACAACGCCGAGGAAAATTATAGCTCAGTGCAATGCAATCGCACTCGCATAATCAAGCATCGCTTTCTAAACTTGAATGCTGATGCACAACAAATCATTCCCAATATGAAATCCTTTGATTTGTGAGCGGTTGATGAACGAAAAAATAGAATAAAAAAAAGATGGTAAAAAAAATTACTTACTTTATCGATTTCCGCCATTTGTGCGATTTTATCCAATTCGATCCTATTCCATAATCAAATCAATCCGAAATTTGAGCATTTGCAGTCAGATGACATAGCAATTAGTAAATTTTTGCGACGTTTTCTTTTTCTTCTTTAATTAATCACTTGTAATAGTATTGGTCACCGTTTCTTTTCTCTTTTCTTTTCTATAACTTTTTTTTGTCGTCGTCGTCGTCACACTGTTTGATTGTTATGTGACACTTTTCTTTTTATCTATTGAACCGTTAAATGACCATACTGCGGAACACACTGAAATTTCCTTTCTCCGATAATAATTCAGTACAGTTCGTTACGAATATTACACATTGGTTGCATTATACATATATGAACATACGTATATTATCATCACTCAAATATATACTTTTCTCTCTCTCTCTCTCTTTTTCTTCTCTTCTCTCCATAAATTGCACTAAACACACAATGAAGCACAAGATCAGATCTCAAATCTCCGTGTGCACGAAGTAGCTACAAATTTCAATTTCATTTATCAGCAATCAGTCTTGAGTACAATTGTTGTTTGCAGTTGTTGACACTGTGGTGATTTCTATTTTTCTTTTTTTTCTCTCTTTCTCGTCACTACACTTGGTAAAAAATATATATATTTATATATATATAAATAAATGTATGGTGCGTGTGTCAGTTTGTGTTGTTGTTATTGTTGTTACTGCTGCTGTTTTAGTTATTATTATTTTGTGTTGTGGACTAATGTCCTTCTAAATAGTGAATAAATTGTTTATTTATTTGTTTGAGCAAGAATTTTCATGCACACATTGACTCAATTTTGGTGTATATTTCGATTCATATGTGCACGCAGACAACAAAAGCAGTTACAAGTACTATTCAGAATGGAAATAAATGAATATGTGTTCAATTGATGTGCATTTACTCTAAACTGGCTCTTTAAACTTGCACTCCATATCACTTTATTACACATGAAAACGAGTTTGTTTGTTTTGTTTATGTCGCTTTTGCGTTGTCGTCGTTACGTCTTACACTCTTTGCGTTTTTCTCAAGAGAGCAAATATCAATTGATATGCGAATTGTGAATATTTGTGATTAACCACGGGTCCATTTGATCTGTTTTCGTCACGCACACACACTGTGTTTGTTGTTGTTGCTGCTGCTTTTTTGTCGTCAGTGAAATTTTGAGCGAATTCACGTTTGACATTGGCTTCCTGTTGCACATTGGTTAAATAGCATTCGTGCCATAAGCAGTCGGATGTAGTAGCATGTGGTTGGCCGATTGTGTATCTTTTGAAGTCGCAATGATTCCAAGTGTGTTGCTCACTTTGCTTTTCTTCAATAAATATCCGTATATATACATATATATCGAAATATGTTTGTATGTGGAAATGGAAGTGTGCGCCGTGCGCCGCTTCGATTTAGCTTTGTCTATTCAATTTCACATGCACAGCTCGGATGGTTCGCTCTCGTTCTCCGTCTTTGCTGACATTTTATTCAGCCAGATACTAGTAGCAACCGCAATGTGTGTATTGCCGTTCATATTCTCTACTTCGTTCTCAATTGTTCTCTCCTCTCTCTCTCTCTCTCTCTCTCCGGCAAACAACAACCGAATTGAATTTATATATATATCTATATATACAAAGCTTTTTTGGCGTTGTTCTTTTTTTCCTTTTTGATTTTCAAGCGCTTGTAGACGCAAATCTGATCAGGTTCGCTGTTACTGCTTTTTTTGTTGATGGTGCAGTCGCTGCTGATATTGTTGTTTCGATGTCTAAACACAAATTGTGAATATAGAGCATCGACAGCATTTTTGATAATGTATTTCGTTTACACGCATACACATTCACACACAATTTAACGAAATGAACCAGCCTGCTTGGTCTCGGTGATTCAGCGCGTTGCCTAATGATTCTGTATGTGTTCTGTATCTCTCTCTCTCTCTCTTACTCGTTCGTGTTATACTCACTATCGAACATTCACAATTAGATGATGCCGATACGAATAAAGTTGTGCAGTCGATGACCTATTGTATGAACTGATGATCGCACAGCATTCACAGGCACGAAAAAATTCACTTTAGCTCTTGTGGTCGCCTTTTTTCCCTATTTTCTTTCTCTTGATTGCTTGCTCGCTCTCCGCTCTTTTATATTACCGAACGCAGTTTCAAATTTATTGTATTTGGCAGTCTGGTACCAGGAGATTATTACGATATTTTAAGTGATTGTTCGTCAACTTCCCTCCAATCGATTCGCGGTAAAATAATGTTTGGTTGGTGTCTGGAATGAAAAAGAAGAAAAAGAAAAAAAAACGATTAATTAATTTTCGTGTATCTTCCGAACGACGCGCGCGCTATCACAACACTTTTTATTTTATGATTATGAAGCGAAAATTGTTAGCTCATCGTAAATCGGTCGGTCGGCGTCGGTCGCAATTTTTTATTTCGCAGAAATCATTGAATTTACGAAACAATGCGGCCAACCACATACATACACACGCGCGCAACAAAGGAGAAATGCAAACAAAAGCGAAACGATGAGGCCGCTAAACAATGTTGCAAGAAACGCTGATATTAAAATTTATTTAGAACAAAAAAAGGTTATTGGGTGTTGAATTTGTATTCATATCGATGGTTTCAATAGGTCAACACTCATTATGTAATGCTTGAGTTCCAATTACATGATAAGTTAATATCAATTACAGGCGGAGCTATACACATATATATATATATATAAAATATGCTGTCCACGGCTGTTTGATCCACAATAATATGGTATACGCACCGGTCCACACACATTTCAATGACACTCGAATCAATCCAAAGAGATTCCCATATCGATGTTGTGTTTAATGCGAACCATTTCAATTGCATTTATTCGAAATTATGCGGCATGAATTGATTAGAATTTCTGTCATTTAATTTTAATGTCTTAATCTATTTTTGGAGCAGTGGCAAACGATGTAGCGCGTTAAGCGCCATACTAACTGTTAAAGTGAAGGATGTTACTACGGCACAAAGGCCAAATAATGATAATGAAGAGAAGAAAAGAAAAACTCGAATTGAAACCAAATCAAATTACAGCTGTTGAAACCATGGGAAAAACGGAACTTTTTTGTTGGAGATTTTTTTTTGTTTTTCTAATTTTGTATTTTTCATTGCTTCATAAAGTGAAGCCAGTGAAACGATGCCGCTGCTGTTGGTGGTCTCATGACTGTTTGTTTGATATTACACCGGAGGAAATCTTCCGTTGGACGTTTTTTCTTTGTGCTTCTGGTGGATTGAACGCATAAAAGTGTATGAGTGTATTAGCGATGGTTGTCAACGCGGCATCACATACCTCAGCTCGTAATTCCTCTTTGCCTTGGCTGTTTTACGTGGATGTGTGTGTATGCTTGTGCTCGGTCTTTTTATCCTCAAAATTTATTGGTATGAACTTCAGAAGATTGATGTGACGACCGCAAAATGAATTGCCTCAAGAATTGGGACGTATGTACGACACGTGTATCCATATATGCAAATAAATTCGTGTGCTCAGCGGATGGAAAAACGAACGCACGCTTAAAACAATGCTTCCGATTGCGTAATAAATATGAATGGGAAACTAGAATTTTGTCGGACCATAATAACGTTAGCGGTTACACGTTTCACCCCGGATCGATTGAAAGGAAATCATTTGCGTGTCACAACAAGCACAAGCACTTTAACATTGATTGTTGTCGAAGATTTCGCTTTTAGAAATTATAACTATTTTATAAATAGCAATTGGCACATTTTAATGTTTCGCAGAAGGATAAGATGAAGACGACGACGACGACGACGACGAAGAAGCGGGTCGAATATGTTGCGGTAAGAGGAATCAATTAAACTCCAATCTATATTGGTAAAATACTTTGTGGAAAGTTCCCGGCTACGGTTTTTATAAACAATGCCAATAGAATCCAACAATAGAAGCTGCTTCGATCGTGTTTCATCAGCGTGCTTATATGTGCATGTGTTTGTTTGTTTATTTATTTATAATTATTTTTTTGTTCGTTGACAAAAAAGGAAAAAAATTACTTTCAATTCGCAATTGAAGGTGCGATTTAGTCGAAAGAGTGAAAGAGAAAAGATGATGCTCGGATTGCCAAATAACAAGCATCAACGAAAATACCGTTATTCAAAAGAGAAATTTCCATCGAACGTTTCACGAGAAAAACAAAGTAAAAATAACAACAACCGCAGCACAGAGAGGAAAAAGAAACATACACACACGTATAACCCATCAACAACAGCAAACAAACAACACACACACATACAGAGAGTGAGAGAGAAAGAGAGAGAGAGAGAAGACGATGGAACGAAAGAGAAGGAAGGAAAAGCAAGCCACTCTTTGCTAGACAATAACAAAATGGAATTTGTACTGTGGCACAGTAAAGCAAACGGTAAGAAGTAATTTACCGCTAAAATGAGTGACAAAGAGAAAGATATGTTCTTACGTGGTGTACTGAGATACACGCACCAACCGAGAGAGAGAGAGACAGAGCCGAAGAGCATGGTGTAGTATCTTTGCCAGAGTACAAAATCAACGCTTAAGCAAGGCGTGTGTGTATGTGCAACAGAGAAGAAAACACAATACTCCGACTACATTTACATAGAAGCTAAGCAGAAAGTGTGCTTTCCTCTCTCTCTCGCTCGCTATTTCCCTCGATGGAATATAAAACTGGTATTTCGAGGCAAAAAAAAGCAAGGATGAATGAAGATGAAGAAGAAAAATAATCGCAATAAAGGCATTTGTAGGCAGAGGCTATGAAAGCGCTCACACAAGCTGCAGTGTCAAAGCTAGCGAGTTCGATACATGCAGAAGCGCAACGATATTCTGTATAAATACAACTCATCCGACACTAAGCATTAAGTGGTTTTTTTTCTCTTTATAGAAAAAAGATTGCATTCAAACACAATCACAACGTTTACAGTTATTTAATCGGAGCGACAAAATTAGGTGTACCATAAAACTAACTATCGGACTCTTCTTCTTCTTCTTCTTCTTATCTGTAGTTTCTTTCCATTGAAATCCACAGAAGTAAATACAAGCGCACGTCGTTTCGGTGGAAATTCGGTTTCGAAAGGTTTTCCGTATTCGATTTGACAGCAGTTCTTTATGGATTTTCTTCTTCCGCGAATAGAAAAAAGGAAATATGCACAGAGAGTGTGAGATTCATTGTTTCATACAAAATGAAATCAATTATATTACAAGCACATTTCGTGCACTTTACGCGAATCAAAGCTCATCAAATTGAATTTCTACTCTGGTTTTTTTTCGGTTTCTTTCGTCTCTTCTCTTTTGAACAAATTTCATATTTCATTTCATCGTTTGCCAAAGCACGCGAAAAGAACGCGAGCTAGAGTAAATAAAAACAAATATCAAACATATTAAAATCGCTGGCATGTGTAAGCGATGTAAGCTAATGTATAATGGGGCATTTTATTTATTCCAACACATTATATTCGATCGCGTTGCATTTGTGTACTGTTTCTTTCTCTTCTGCTTCTTTTTCTATTCAAAGCTGCATGCAGTTCGTTCATTTCAGTGCTTCGATGCAATATCAAGTATACGTCGAATAAATTATCTACAACAATAATAACATTTATCCATAATTCAATGTGAGAACATTGAAAAAGAAAGTTGCAACCGTACACACATTTGAACACAAATATATGCCGATGGAGGCTCACACTCATACACGCATACACACACCATCAGAAAGACGCACACAGCGCGCAAAAACCACACAAATTCGCTCGAATAATTCGTTTAATGCCAAAGTAGAAGCAGGAAAAAACAGTGGAAGAAGCACACAAAAAAAACGCAGCACATGATGCGAATGTACGGGTGTATTTACTGTGTGTATGCAACAATAACATTCAGTGGTAATATGTAAATGTAGACTCAACGCTGCCGTGTGTATATTATACTGTGTGCTGTAATGCATTCGCTGTACGTTCTCGTGATAATAACAATAAATTGTTTTCGTTTTGCGATTTGACTTTGTGCCGCGCTGATATTGTGATATTGTGTACGTATCGTATCGTACCGCTGTTGTGTGTTTCGTTTCAAATTTTTATTTACATGTTTTCTCTTATTCATTCGTCGCACAGCATTTTAGCGCTATATCCCTCGTGCTATGTTCTTGGTTCACTTTTCAGCGTAGCCAGAGCACACCGAAAAACGATACAAACGAGAAAAAGACAAAATTGTATGTCTCAGTGACACTGGCCCTGGGTTTCCGACCCAATACATTTTTAATAATATGCTCATTCTCTCTAGCTCTATCACTCTCTCTCTCTCTCTCTCTGTGTGTGTGTGTGTGTGTGTCCCTCTATCTCTCTTCCCCTTACTCTCTACCGATTTAGCCGTCTGCTAGGTGGATCTTGTGCGCGCCGTACACATTTTATCACTGCCCATTGCTCTGACTTTGCTACCGGGAGTATCGGATATATGTATATGGTAACTGGGATGGAGTGAAACAAACACACGAAAAGATAGAGAAAAAAAACCGACGACGACAACGACAACGTTAACACGAAAATTGCACCATAGTGCGTATCTGTTGCGGTTATCTAATGTAAAATTCATTACGGTTAAAGCGTTAATTTATTCAAATTTATTGCACAATTATTATTTCGTTTCTGACATGCATGTGACACAACAACCCCTTTTTTATTCAGGCGAATTCTTATCACTATTGTTTTTGAATTACTTCTATCTTGTCGTTCGTGCGGTTTTTTTCTCTGACTTTTATTTGTTTATTACGTCTTTTCTCTCTCTCTCTCTCTCTCTCTCTCTCTCTCTATCTCGATCTATGTTTTGTTTTGTTTGTGCAAGTTTTTGTTTCTGTGTTCGCTATTTGCCAAATATTTAATTGAATTTCACTCTGTTTGTCGGTGTATAAAAATAAAGAATCAAGATTCTTTACGGTATTTCACTTTCGCAACGATCTCTTTCACTCCCATCGAACGGCGTCAATGTAGCTATTTTCCTCTCGAAAATGCTGGCAAACGAGATGCGTTGCGTTGGATCGAATGTGCGAAGTGTGGGACGAACGAGTGAATGATACAGGGAACGAAGAGAGAAAGCGAGGAAGTAGCAACAGCGTTTTTATTGTCTTCCGATAATAATACGGGGTGCTTTTTTGATTGATGAGACCGTCGCTGTGGATACCGTCGAACCATCAAAAACCGAAGCTGCAAGTATGCGCACAGACGGTAATGCTTAGACCGATATAGCGGATGGTATATAGC